GTCTCAGCCTCCTGGAGGTCTTCCCTGCCCCGGGACTGAGCTGGAAGCCCATTCATGGCACCTACACTGTTCCCGTAGCACTGTACGGAACATGTGCAACAGTCTCGGGCCAGCTTGCACCTCAGTGCCCACCATGTGCACTCTTGGTGCTCAGCCTGCTGTGCTGCCATCTCTGTTCCCCTGGGACACGGGACACGATTCAGACACAGCCCTCTGTAAGGCAAGATGCATAGCCCAGGTCCACTCTACTATTGCATTCGTGGTTATTCCACTGAGCGACCTCCAGCTGACTGTTCCGTGGGATGGGGAGGCAGGGCAAAGGGAACGATCTCTCTGTTTTCTTCTTATCCAGCGTCAGTGGCTTTTCCAGGCTGCCGTGGGAGGTGGAGCGTGTAGGGCCGTGCTGATGGAGGAGGGCCTGCGTCAGTCTGGATGTGACGTGTGTGAGCAAATGACTTCACCCCCCAGGGTCTCAGTTTCCTCATCTATAAAATGGGGACAATAACATTACCTACCTCATCTCTTCAAATGGGATTATGCATTTATAATAACAAGTACTGTGCCTAATGTATATTCAGGGCTCAACAGTTGTAAGCTATGTAATAATAAAAATAGGAATTATTCTCCTCTGACATTGCCCTTTAGGAAACAATCTGTAATACAGACAAAGATTTATGCACAAAGATTTTATCATAGCCTTAATTATAAAAGTGGAGACAAATTGGAATTTAAGTGTTCAAATCATAAAAAAATGGCTTTTTGTGTGTGTTTACTCCATGCCGGAATACTACGTAGCCACTAATAATGATGTTTACAAAGAGTCCCTAAGGACATGTGGAAATGCTGATGATATTGAGTAAAAAAAGTACTATATACCCACATTTAATATAATCTCTTCTGTGTAAAAATATATATATGCAAAATTGCATAGGAAAATAACTAAAAGAAAAAATATCGATGTTTGTTTTGACTCCGAAAGGTATTTTTAAGGTCATTTTTTCATTTATACTTTGTAAAAATATTTTTTATATTTTCTTCTATGGCATACTTTGTAGTCAGAAAAACAAAACCTCAAGATCCCTGTTCGAGCCTGCCGGGGCCCCTTATCTGTGTAGATCCCGGCAGCCCCAGGCTTGTGCCTGGAGCCTGCTCGCAGGTGGTACCTGGCGGGATGGCTGCTCGTAGCCCGTCGTGCTCGAGCTCCTCTGGCCGCCCGGGGGAACACTCCATCTCTGGCCGCAGTCGGAACACGGGTATTAATCCGCAGGCCCTTGTTGCTCTGATTTCTGGTTTCTTTCCCTGCACCTCGTTAATCATTTTGAGGTCTCCCAAGGAACTCTCTCCTACAAAGCGATTTTGACTTCAAGCCTCTGAAGGTAAAAAGTGTTTCCCAGATTTTAGGAATTTATTCTTTTCAGCATGGTTTAATAAAAATCAGTCAACCGACCTTCAGAGCATATTTATTTAAGTGGTCTTCTGCTGGGGGCTTGTCTATGACAGGCTGGGGAAGGGAGGTTTGCGTGAACAAGGGAACAGGGGACCCACTCAGATGGCTGCTGTGAAGTGCATCTGTTCGTAAGGTTGGTGTTCAGCATGACTCCTTAAAGCATAGAATGAATACAGGTAGTAAACAAAAAGGGTTAGAGTCCACCTTTCCAAACTCAAGTAGTTTACACTCCTGTGTAAGGCAGAACTGTGAACTGACTCGGATTAATGGGATGCTTTGGGCAATCTGAAGTTGATCGTTTCATATTTTTAGGTGTCAGCAACTGGTTTCCCCATCACCTCTGGGCACTCACTCCGTCCTACAATGTGATACATCTGATCGATGCCTTCTGTAGCTTAACATGTCTCCATGGAAGGATGCAGAGGCCCTGAGTGATTTCAGACTCTGCAACTCTTTTTTTTTTGAGACAGAGTCTCACTGTGTTGCCTGGGCTAGAGTGCCGTGGCGTCAGCCTAGCTCACAGCAACCTCAAACTCCTGGGCTCAAGCGATCCTCCTGCCTCAGCCTCCCGCGTAGCTGGGACTACAGGCATGTGCCACCATGCCCGGCTAATTTTTTTTTCTATGTATTTTTAGTTGTCCAATTAATTTCTTTCTATTTTTAGTAGCGATGGGGTCTCGCTCTTGCTCAGGCTGGTCTCGAACTCCTGAGCTCAAACAATCCGCCGGCCTCGGCCTCCCAGAGAGCTAGGATTACAGGCGTGAGCCACCACGCCCAGCCAGACTCTGCAACTCTTGAGCCTTTTCCGTCGGCTTGTGTCTGTGTTCCCACATCTGGTCCAACAGCCATGTCTGGTTTGAGGCCTCCAGAGACTTGATTAGGAGGACAGAAGAAATTGAGAGTTGTGAAGATTCCCTACATTTATCACTCGGAGGCAGAGAAAGAGAACCCAACCAAGAGGAGTGTTAGACTAAAACCTGACAGAGGAGGGAGAGAGGGTTTCCAGGAGGAGGGCTGGTCAACAGCGCCTTGTGTTGCGGAGATTTCAGGTCGGGTAAAGAACGAGAGGCAGTCGGTAGAGGTGGTCAAGAGCCCATCGGAGACCTTTTCGGGAGCAAAACCACAGTAGAGTTGTGTTGAAGGCGGAGTATGCGGTGAGGAGTTGGAGGGCAAGGAAGTTGGAATGTGAAGGGAAGGCAAGAGATGGGGGATTGTAGAGAAAAGCTTTGGGGCGGTAGTTAGTGTGGAGCATGTTTAGAAGCTGAGGTCAGGAGAGGGTGAAGAGAAATGGAGGATAAGAGGTGGAACGATGTTGAGAATTGGATCAAGAGTGCGGGTGGAGGGATTAGCCAGTCCATCCTGCGAGATGGGAGAAAACGAAATAAAAATGGGACTGGATAGATGTTTTGAGATTGAAAGGAATGGATCCAAGTGCTCAAGCTTGACGGCGTAGATGAGATCACCTGGGAGGGCAGGAGTGGACGGGCAGGGCGGAGTGGGCAGTTGAGAAAGGTAGGGCGCGAAAAGCACCTGCTGGGTGGTGGGAGGGAACGGCGTGACCTGCCCTGGCTTCCCTTAGAGTGACGAACAGACGTCACACTCCTCGTTTGAACAGATCCCTGAGATCACACAAATCCGCAAATGTTTATTTATTGTACCCTCAAAATACCGCAACGATCTGCTTACCTTCTCTTCAAAGCCTCCCCTTGGCGATTATACTTTCGCATTTCTCTAATTGCACGCTAGGGAAACTCCTGTTAGACACAACTAGTCCTCAGACCACGAACACCTGCGGGTCCTGTTGATGCCTGCCTGGGTTCAGAAAGCTCTGCAAGCATTTGCTTTAGAGAGGAAGAGGCCATGGATTTTCAAATAATGGAGCTTTGTTTTCTAGGTTTCCAACCCTCACATTTACCGATTGTTAGGTGGTCATAAAACACTCTCATCCTCATGTGCTCTTGCAACTCTCAAAGCTTTTTGAGTTTCCCTTTGCACACCCAGAGTTGTGCTCCTGGCACTAGGGCGAAGGCACAGAAAAAAGAACAAAATGCTTGGCATTGTGTGGACACCATGCACCAAATCAGAGGGAAATAACCTCCTCATCCTATTTCCCTCCATACGGGCATCACTTCCTTTGTAATTTACTGAAGGGCTGTAGTGAGGATTAATTGGGCTCCTAGGATATCATGAATTGTTCCTAACATTGGCAAAAGGCTGCTTGTAATTTGAAACTCCTGAAGTTAAGAGGAAGGTCAGGTGCTGTTAGTTCGTGTGCTGCTTCTCGAAAAATCCACATTTTTGAGGAGGATTCTTTCTGCTTAACTTCTGGCAAAGCTATAAAGATCCCAGAAAGGGTTCTCGCGCGGCTGAGTGGGCGCTGGGTATGGGAGTGAGATCTGCTTCCTGAACAAGGAACACAGCCAGATGATCGGGAATTAAGAAAGTATCACCAAGAGTATAGAGGGAAAGACCTGTTTTAACAGACTTCAAGGGCAGGCAATCAGTTTTACCAACATGGATTTTTTAGTGAAAGTATTGCTAGAAACTACAATCTCTATCTACAAGCCTTCAAATGAAACGACATTTCCGGGCCCTGCGTGGTCGTTAGCAGGTGCTAACAAGCGCTTCGAACCCTACAGGGGAAGACGGAAAGGCCCTATGATCAGAGCTCTTTCCTCTCCTTTCCTAGATCTTTACTCCTTTTTCATTTTGGTGGGTAATTCAGGATTTGTGGATTTTTCTCTTGCCTTCGGAATGCAGGATGGTAAGTGAGACTCGAAGGGTGATTCCACCCGAAAGCAGGACTGAGGGAGTTGTCACCTTCTAAAGCTGAACCCAATCGAGTTCTTTATTAAAGGGTGACTGTTACGTGAGTGAGAACAAGACACGATGCCGGCTGTGCAGATAATTCGTTTTATAGCTTTAATCCCAACTGGTACAACAGAGCCGCTACGAGCTGTGTGTCAGGTCGTAACAATGCCGTTTCAACTCACAACCCTTCTTCGTGACTTTATCTCTAGTTGAAGGCGAAAATTTTCCGGCAACTCAGTCCAATTATTTCCTAACCCCAGTCCCTCCGTCCCAAAGGCTGAGACTGGTGCACTGACTACGGCAGGCCACGTTTGTGAGAAGGAGCCTTGCGGAGGGAGGACTCGGGGACCCCTCGGAGTCGGGGGCCTGCTGCACTCGGGTTCTCGGAGCTCTGGGGAGAAGTTGATCCTACTGATCGTCCTGTTTCTGTCGGTCTGTTTCTCCCTGTGCCTTGGGCAACTGTCTCCCACACGGTGCTTTAGTACTTGAAGGTCGTTCAGTCGGAAAGGGATGGAAACCTTGATCACCGTGCTGGGCCTGGCCACTTGCTGAAAACCTCAAACACAGTTTGTGCAGGTCCCAAGCTCGTGCTTTGCTGACATGTACGTGCTGCCTTTAGGCTACTCGCGGCTGTCTGTGCTGCCGCGTCGGTGATTGAAATCCTTTCTGCCCTCTGGTGAGGTGATCAGACTTTGTGCTCATGAGCATGCGTGCCTTCTCTCTGCTCTCCTGCTCCCTGCAGACTGCCATCCTCTGTGCCGGCGCTGTGCCGCCAATCTCCACGACGCCGGCAGCGTCTGCCTGCAGTGCCAGGATGCCCGCCACCTGCTGCTCGGGGACCACTGCGTCCCCGCCTGCCCTTCAGGATACTACGCAGAGAGGGGCGCTTGTAAAAGTAAGTGCTGGACTCAAGCACTGCGGCTGCCTCGCGAGGTTCTCCTTAGGGCGGTCGCTGAGGCTGAACTTCCCGAGGGGGGCGGAAAGCAAGCTCAGCACAGCACGCAAACCAGACCGGCAGCCAGACGCGCTCGCACTGCTGGGCTTCTGTTACCAGCACTCGGGGTGACGCTCTAGACAGGAATCCGGCATCAGTGTTTCTCTGTCTCTTGTCCCTCCGCAGGGTGCCACTCCTCCTGCAGAACCTGCCGAGGAAGAGGACCTTTCTCCTGCTCCTCGTGCGACGCCAGCCTCGTTCTGTCCCACATCGGCACCTGCAGCAGCAGCTGCTTCCCTGGGCACTACCTCGACGACAACCGTGTCTGCCAGCGTAGGTTTTTCAAACGAACTTTCTGTCCTTTCCTGCCCCTCTTGGGCCACTGAAAGAAATGTGAGGTTCTTGCTTCCACCTTCTCACCTGACAGCCTTTATTTTTACAAAAGGAAGAAAACTTACCTGCAAAGGCAGTATGAGTGGCATTAGCCGCGTAACTCACATACGAGATTAACTGGTAACTCACATACGAGATTAACTGGTAACTCACATACGAGATTAACTGGTAACTCACATGTGAGATTAACTGGTAACTCACATACGAGATTAACTGGAAGAGCTGGGCCGTGTGGCGGGGAAACACCAGCTGTGTGAGCCTGGACAGGTTAATTTCTCTGTCCTGTTACCTAATTTAAATTAAAAGTGTTCATCTTTTTCATCTTTATAGTTTCTCTCGGCACTCCGATTCTATGATCCTGGGCAGAGAGTGGCACTCGCTCTAGTATGCAGTCAATGAACTGAACGCTTCTCTGGGTGTAATTTCTACATGTATTTGCTGAATATTGACAATGTAAAGGACTTCATGTGCTGCAAAACATTCGATTTCTGCCCAAACAGTCATCATTTTGTCTTGCATGAGAGTTACTTGCATCGATGTCTTATTTCTCAAAAAAGTCAGAATGTGATTAATTGCCTTGAGTCACACACAAACAAAGAGGTAGGATAAATTAGGGAAAGGGTAAATCTGGATGAAAAAAAATTAGGAAGTCCTTTACAGATGAAGGAATGTTTGTGATAGGCTAAGGCCGCTTACTTCGTTTCAATCACTAATGTGTCATTTGTAAAAAATAAAATTTGTCATACTTTTGAAAATGACACTTACAAACAGTGGCGATATTTCAATTTTATGTTCTAGGAAGTACCGTCTTGAAGGAATTATGGAATAGTGGTTAGGAGAGTGGATCTGGAGTCAGGAGACCAAAGTTGAAATCCTAACTGCCACTAACCAGCTTTGTGACTTTGAACAAGTCAATTAACCACTAGGCTCAGCTTCTTTTTCTGTAAAAATGGGATTATAACAGTATGTACAGTCTAATTTTGTGACACTTAGCACAGACTCTAGCAGAGAATAAGCCATCAGCATAGATTAACCATTTTGTTATCCTTATTGTCATCATCATCATCATCTGGAATGAGAAGCAAATAAAGCAGTAAAAGATACTTATATTTTATAGATAGAGCAATAGATACTCCTGTTAGTTCCTTGAGATGTTTGCAAGGATTTGCATTTGAAATGAAGTTATATGGAACTCACCCTTTTACACATCATCTGTTGAGATAC